ATCCACCACGCCCAATTCATTGATTATCCCTATCCCAGTTAATCTGTATACCTCCAATACTGTCTATGCCTCAATTATTTTATTGTTTATTTATCCATTTGTGGGACATGGGGTCACTGGCTGTCTAGCATTTATTACCTGGCCCCAGATACCATCAAGAAGGTGGTGGTGAGCTGCCTTCTTCAACTGCTGCAGCCCATGTTTTGTAGGTAGACCCACAATGCCATTAGGGAGGGAATTCCAAGATTTTGATGCAGCAACACTGAAGGAACAGTGGTATATTTCCAAGCCAGGATGGTGAGTGGCTTGGAGGGGAACTTACAGGCGGTGGTGTTCCCACATATCTGCTACCCTTGTCCTTTTAGAAGGATGTGGTCGCAGGTTTAGAAACTGCTGTCTGAGGATCTTTAGTAAATTTCTGCAGCGCAACTTGTAGATATTACACACTACTACTACGAAGCATTGGTGGAAGGGGGAGTGGATGCTTGTGGTTATGGTGCCAATCAAGTTGGCTGCTTTGTCCTTGATGATGTCAAGCTTCATGAATGTCATTAGTGCAGCAAGTGGGGAGTATTCCATCACACTCCTGACTTGAGCCTTGTAGATGGCGGACAAACTCTGGGGAGTCAGGTGAGTTACTCACCGCAGTATTCCTTGCCTCTGACCTGCTCTTGTACCACTGCGTTCATATGGTGAGTCCAATTCAATTTCTGGTCAATGGTAACCCATAGGACATTGATAGTGGGTGTTTTTGAACAAGTGCAACAAGGTCTGCACAGTACCCAGGACTGGGCTGACAAATGACAAGTAACATTCATGCCACACAAATGCCAGGCAATGACCATTTCTAATAGGAGACAATCTAACTAATGTGCTTGACATTCAGCGGTGTTACCATCAACAAAACACCCACTATCAACGTCCTTCAGTATCTGAGGAGTCAGGAATGGTGCTGAACATTATGCAATCATCAGCAAACATCCCCACTTCTGACCTTATGATGGAGGGAAGGTCATTGATGAAGCAGCTGAAGGTACTTGGGCCTGGGACACTGCCCTGAGGATCTCATGGAGCTAAGATGACTGACCTCTAACAACCACAACCATCTTTCTGTGTGTCAAGTGGGACTCCAACCAGTGGCGAGTTTGCCCCCGATTCCCAATGATTCCACTTTTGCTAGGTCTCCTTGATGCCACACTAGGTCAAATACAGCCTTGATGTCAAGGGCTGTCACCTTCACCTCATCTCTGGAATTCAACTCTTTTGTCCATGTTTGAACCAATGCTCTAATGAAGTCAGGAACCGAGTGGCCCTGGCAGAATCCAAACTGGACATCAGTGAGTAGGTTATTTCCAAACAGGTGCTGCTTGATAGCACTGTTGATGACACATTTCATCACTTTACTGATGATCAAAAGTAGGGTGGTAATTGATAGTTTGACTTTGCCCTGCTTTTTGTACAGAACATGCCTGGGCAATTTTCCACATTGTCAGTGATACTGGTGCTTTGGCCGTACTGGAACAGCCTGGCTAGGCGAGTGGCAGGCTCTGGAGCACAAGTCTTCTGTACTATTGCTGGAATGTTGTCAACGCCCGAAGTCTTTGCAGTATCCATGGCCTCTAACTGTTTCTTGATATCATGTGGAGTGAATCAAATTGGCTGAAGACTGGCATCTGTGATATCTGGGGTCACTGGAGGAAACCAAGATGGATCATCCACTCGACACCTCTGGCTGAAGACTGCAGTGAATGCTTTAGCCTTATCTTTTGCACGGACGTGCTGGGCTCTTCCATCATTGAGGATGGGGATATTCATGGAGCTTCCGCCTCCAGTAAGTTGTTTAATCGTCCACCTCGATTCATGATGTGAAGTGGCAGGATTTCAGAGCTTAGGTCTAATATGTTGGTTGCGGGATCACAAAACTCTGTCTATCACTTGCTGCTTATGCTGTTTGGTAGCTTTACCAGGTTGACACCTCATTTTTAGGTATGCCTGGTGCTGCTTTTGGCATGCCCTCCTGCACTCTCCATTGAACCATCAGATTTTGATTACAAAAAGTCACAGAGCTGAAATGTTAAATCTTTCTTCCTTCTCCATAGATACTGCCAGGGCTGCTGAGTAATTACGGCATTTTCAGTTTTCATATAAAATTTACACTGTAACTTCATGGAGTCACCTCTCCCACTTCAGAGAATTCTAACAGCATTACAACCCTCCAAAATCTGTGCCTTCAATTCTGTCCTCCTTTTCCCAATCTTAATTACTCCACCTTCAACAGCCATGCTTTCATTGCTACGGCTATAAGTATAGAATTCCCTCTGTAATCCACTGTCTTTATTGCTCTCTTTTCCTTTAAGATGCTCCCCAAAATCCTCCTTTTTGATCAAGTTGTTGATTAACCATCCTGATATCTACTTATAGTATTCAGTGTCAAATTTCATTTGATAATACTCCTGTGAAATGTCTCAAGACATTTATCTGTTAAGAAGTACTTATGTAATTACAAACTATCATTACTGTCAACAAATTACTCACCTTCTGTGGCAGCTGCTGTTGTTGCTGCTGCTGCTGTTGCATAACCTTCGGTATAGCAGCTGAAGGTTCTTGTCCTTTCCCCTCCTTGAACTCATTAACTTTGTGCCGGTAATATGCATGGTAAGGATCATTTGGATTCAAGAAGTTAAACTTGGAGTTGTTTATCTCATTTTGACGGATTCGAGCTTCAAATTCAGGGCCATTCCTAATCAAAGCAAAATGATTTGCACTTTTAAACTCAAAGGGTTTAATACAGCAAATACAACATGCAGTTGTCGGAATTTAGCACTCACCTTGCTACAAAACTTGCAGTCTTATCAACGATGTTTCTGACTTCAGGAGGAGGATAAATAATACCAACAATGGGTTTGGATGTTGCAGACTCATCTTTTGTTTCTTCTGGCAACTTTAAAACAAAATTAAATAAGTGTCACTAAATTCTTAATCATCTTTAAGCAGCTTAATGACTTTTTAAAATTATTATAATTATCATAAGTTCGTGTCTGCAGATGACAGAGAATCAGATTGTGGAAATGATACTTTTGTTCCAATTAAGTGCCAAAACACATCAATCTTTGAAAAAAACACTCATGCTATGTTAGGATGGCAACAATACATACATTTTAGCGCAATTTATGCTGATGACCAAGCCGTTGAGATAAATTATAGGAAGTCGCTATCTCCCCAACCGTTTAGACATACCAGTTGTCAAATCATCATACCTGGGGACTGGACTGGAGTAAACAGATTAATACGGCTCCAAAAATCACATATCTGATGACAACAGACTATCAAATACTGCAAAAACTAAAACCAGGCAAGTGTACAGTACTCCAAAGCACTATGGATAATTAGCCTGCTAATCTGTCTCATTGATGGATTAGAGCTGCCAAAAGGGTACGGAATTCTCCCCAGTTAGCTGAAGATATCATTACAGTCAATACTCTACAAAGGTGGTCTAGCTGGGCAAGCAGCAAAGTGTATTTCAGTGCTTTGTGATGGTAGACTGCACAATTTTAACTCATCATAAATAGCCATCACCTCTCTACATTCCAAACAATATTATTTTTTGGATTTTTTTGCCTAAGTTTTTTAGACTTGGAATACGTGCATTCTTTTCAGTTTTTCTACGAATGCTATATTGGGCAAATGAAAACTTGTTAGTTCCTTAAAGATCCATGCTAATTAATTATGTACTTTTGTACTGGGATCGAGCACATCTGGACCATATGAACTCGAGAATATATAATTTGACTACAATTTAGGTGCCCTGTAGTGTACTTTGTTCACCTCCATCTTCTCCGTCCAACTAAATGAGAGGCATGTAACCTTTTATCCACACCTACTTTAATGACAATACCATAATCCTGTAAAAGTACTCAGCAATGGTTGTAATACTAAAGTCTTCTAATATAAATTGTTTTACAATATTCTGCACTTCAAAGTATCGTATTTCCCATCATCAACTGTTTACGAATGCGTGTGAACCGGACGAAGGGAATTATATAAGTAACGTATAACCATCCGGATTGCAGTCTGACAATGTGGCCGATTTTAATGCAAGGTAAACACAGCCCTTGTTGCCTCTGAACGACCGGACACTTGGGATAAATCAGACTAACATTCCGCCAACGTGTGGATTATCTACACACATTCGGAGGAAGAGTCACCGGATCCGAAACGTTAACACTGTTTTTTCCTTCACAGATGCTGCCAGACCCGCTGAGCTTTTCCAGCAACTTTGTTTTTGTTCCTGATTTACAACATCCGCAGTTCCTTCGACTTTTATTTTGTGTGGATTATTTAATCGTGTGCCCGACAGGTTATTCCAGGACTCAGCTTGCATAACCAACAGATAATACAGCCTAGAGACAGGATAATAGCCACTAGCTCGGAATCCGGGGATCCAAGACCAATATGCGAGTTCCAGGCCCAGAGCCTGTGGTTTGGAGGCCTCATTTTTCTCTTTTTCTGGCAAGGATTGGCGGGGGGGAATCCGCATTACACCGGGCCAAGGTTTCTTTTTTTAAAACCTCTTTCTGTTTTAAAACGCACCTGGTTATTTTCAGTCTGAGGTGGCGGCAACGCCTGCACAGGTCCGGCCGGCATGCCTTCGGTACCGGACAGGGGAGAGAAGCTCAATCCCCCACCGCAGCCGTTCCGCGAACAAAACTCGGGCTAAACAAGATGGCGGCCACGGCCTGCACCATCCACCTCCTCATGCGGGGGGGGCGGGGTGGGAGATGGGATAGGTACATAACATAAAGTACTTCGCACACATTTAATTCAGTTTCCATTTCTCATCACCTTCGAATTATACACTACTTTTCTTATAATACTGTTTTTATTATGTTTGACCGGTAAAGTCTCGCGTTTGTTGTTCCGATCCTTAATTTGCCTGGCACCGTCCTTACGTCTTATGACGAGCAAGCACGTAAACGCGCGATGACGTTACAGTTACGTTACGTGCGTCCATGACAGCACGTTGTCAACAGCCGGAGGGGAGCTAACGGTCGATCGCAGGTAGGTACAGGCTCAGTGATGGAGTTTGAATCAACCTCATCAGGCACACCTTTGGAGTCGGTGAAACTTGATTCTAGACCTTCATACCTGAAATTACTTGTCCAGTGTATTACCCCCATGCCACTTCTTGCCCCCGCGATATATCTTGGGCTTGGAGCCCTGGTGCTAACAAATGAACGATTCATTGCTTATTCAATATGGGGCAAAGAACTTTATAATTTCGGCTCAGTGGGATGCGGAGGTGCTGTGAGGTTTTGAAATGCACCCGTCCCCCCCCGCCACCACCACCACCACACACGTCCGTTGGGACTGATGATGACTCGCTTCCATGGGTTCTCAAATGTCCAAGCAGTCCAATGCACCCATTTGCAGAGTCTGCTACATGTGGGGCAAAGTTGGTGCTGTTTGACTGACTGCCTGGGGGGGGAGGGGGGGATCGTTTGGAGGTTTTACCCGAAACCTTGACTTCATCTCTTCACAGTCTCAACAAGGTTTCTGCCTGTGTTCAGCGATTTCCCAAATGAATCTTCTTATTTTGGTCCCTACACAAGCCAGGTCTAGGGGGATGTTTGACCTCTTCAAAGGTGTTTTAAGGACAGCCTAAAGCATTTCCACAGTCTTCGTCTTGCAACAGAATAGATAAAGGTAAACTATTTCCCCTGGTTGGCGATTCTCAAACAAGGAGTACGTAGTCTAAAAATTAGGGACAGGCCATTCAGGAGAGATGTTAGGAAGCCTTCTAGACACAGAGGGTGATAGAGGTTTGGAACTCTTCTGCAAACAGTAGTTGATGTTAAATTAAATAGCCAATTTTAAATCTGAGGCAGATACATTTTTGTTAAGCAAAGGTATTAATGGGATGTGGACCAATGATAGGTATGTGGGAATTTAGGCCACAGATCAGCCATGTCTCATTGAATGGTGGATCAAGTTCAAAGGGCTGAATGACCTACTCCTGTTCCTATGTTCTTATAAGCAAGTTCTGAGTAGAGCAGTTGCTTCAGGAGCCTGGTATATGAACAACATGTCTTACCCCATCGAGCTAGTTTTAATTGATCAGTCATGATGCTGGACAAATTGACTTGGGAAATGCTGCTTTTGGTCCATCTTTCCTGACACCAGAAGATAGAACATAGAACAGTACAGCACAGAAACAGGCCCTTTGCCTCAGCATGTCTGTGCTGATTATGATGCCATTCTAAACTATTCTCATCTGTCTGCACATGGTCTGTAGCCCTCTGCTCCCTACCTGTTCATGTGTCTGTCTAAATGCCTCTTACACAATGCTGTTGTGTTTGTTCAACCACTCTTCTTGGCAGTGCATTCCAGGCACGCACCACCCACTGTGTAAAAAAAACTTGCCTCACACATCTCCTTTAAACTTGGCCCCCTCACCTTAAACCTATATCCCCTAGTATTTGAATTCCAAGAAGGCCCACAAACATGCAAATTCCTTGTTGCAACTGTTGATTCTTCGTCCAACTGACTCTTTACTCATGTCAGCAGATTTTTTTAACAATAGAGGACACTGCTGCCAAATATAATTTTTTCTCCTCTTTGTCAGCCCCAAACAACTACTTCAACTTGTGGGACTATGAATAATGAGCAACAGCCTTATCTAATTTCCTTTCTCATCTTTCCTTCCACTGAATTCCTCCAGAAAAACAATGTAAAGAAGGATCTTTTTGAGTGTTTACACAAGATGCAGAAATGACCAAGATGCTTTTGTATCTATATAGTAGTTAGTTTTGTTCTCAATCAAGGCTACAGAATTGTGATTACTCCAATACAACATTCTACTGCAGAATTATAGACAGAAAGCTGTTAGAATGGTTGCAATTTCTGCATATAAAGCATGGTTTAAGGTACTTGCATTTTCCCTCTCCATTAGTTTTATTAAATCCTATTGTTAACAAAACATCTATTAACTTCAGGAAATAATTTTTAAAATTACCCTAAAATTGAATTCCATGCCTAATTCTTCCATTTATGAAACAGCAATATTAATAGTAATGGCTGTTGTGCAGATATCTTTATTGTCATGTGTGATATTAGTAAACCAGCACTACTAGCAAATTGTGAAGGTTCATTATCACTATGGTTCGTGTAAAATTCTGTCAATTATTTTGACAGCAATTGCCAACATATTAAATATCACTACTTTGTATGTAGACTTATGCTTGCAACAATTTGTAGATCATACTGTGCATTAAGTCCTGTTAAAATATTTTTAATCTGGTAGCAGATATTTTATAAGGTTAGTACAAAGTAAACAATACTGTATTTACATTAAATTACAACTTAAAGGTGATATTTGTTTAAAATCATTGAATCAACTTTCTTAATTTAATTATTTTCTATTTCTTGCAGATAAATTGCCCTTGTGGAGCTATTATTGTGGGCTCGGATACTTTATATAGAAATAGCAGTTTCAATTTTCATAAGAAGGTGCATTTCATATTCTGATTTCAAGACATTTGAAATGACACTACTTTTAGGAAATCAAAACTGTTTGGATGGTTTGCGCAAGGATGTCACAGATGTACAAGGGATAATCATAGATGTATTTTCACGAGTTGGTGCAGTTCGCTATCCATCATGGAAGTTTCCGGATAAAACATCATGTGATTTGGATCTTGTTACTTTATTGAACCGTTTTGATTATGTAGAAGATGACCCAGAATACACACAACATTCTCATATTGTGCTGTTTGAATTGGTGATTGACAGGTAAGGTACAAGTTGTTCTTTGGCTTTTCTCCAGAAAGTACCAACCATGTTCACAATAATTCATGCTGGAAACAATCATAATACACAGTGGTAATGCCTCATGCACATAGAATGTCAGCAGATGTTTACTTCCTTCTGACCAACTTAACCCATTATTTTTGTGCCTCAATTTTGCCTTAATAGGAGTGATTTATTTTTCATTAATTGAGGTAATACTCAATGAGGATATGCCTAAGATCCACACTTACTTGCATTGTTCTGTTGCTGCTGTTTTCAGTAATTGTTTTTTGTTGAGATGTTGATTTCTCTGAATAAAGTTTTTGAAAATTACTCAAATATTTTGGAAGTACTGTACAAAGATTGTCTATTTCTTTTATTGTTGTAGCACCTCTGTTCACAGGCTGTTGTTGAACCCGGACCACATAAAAACAGATGTTGAAAGGTTTAAATTCCAAGGTTAAATATTGTGATATTAATTAAATGTCATCAAATGTAATTTAGTGATCCAAAAAACATTTGAATAATGAAATAACTATTTTCAAGAGAATGATTATACAAAGTAGTTTGTTTGTCCAGACCTGTTCATCCAGAAGCAATCCTTCCACTTGAAACTTTGTGACATATCCCAAATTGATAATGGAAAGTCCTGTAATACTGAGTACCATCCTTTCAGAAAGCCAAATACCTTGGTTGAACTATGGTTGGAATACTGCTATATCAGCTTAAAAGGATGGGTATCTTGGGGAAATCTTAGAAGTGGATAAGGAATTAGTTGTAAGAAAGGAAGAAGGGAACTAATGGAAATTCTTGGCAGGTTTGACACAAAAAAGATGAAATATGAGATTGTTAGCATTGGACTGACTGAACTCTGTGCCATAATTTTCTTAAAATTAGGTAATTGGCTAGCTGGGAGAAAGAGTGATTAAGATCTAGCAATGATATGAGAGTCAGCAATTACAATATCCAGTCATTTGCAGAGCAGCAATCAAGAAGAAAGGGAACAAAATACTGAATAACGCTGCCAAATAAAATGGTATAAACATGAAGCTAAAATTTTGCCTAACACACTCCACTCATACCATACATTGAAGATTGTGTTTAGCTCTGGTCAGAAAGATGAGAGGGAAACATTCAAGCAGAGAAGGGACACAGGACTAATCCCACATGTCAGAGGACCACTTTCTGAGGATGGTGTATAATGTTTTAATAAATAATGTTAAATAGTGCAGAGCATGGTGGCTCAGTGGTTAGCACTGCTGCCTCACAGCACTAGGGACCCGGGTTCAATTCCACCCTTGGGCGACTGTCTGTGTGGAGTTTGCACAGTCTCCCTGTGTCTGCATGGGTTTCCTCCGGGTACTCCAGTTTCCTCCCACAGTCCAAAGATGTGCAGGTTAGGTGGATTGGCTAAGCTAAATTGCCTGTAGTGTTCAGGGGTCTGTAGATTAGGTGGATTATAGGGGTTGGGTCTGGGTGGGATGCTCCAAGGGTCGGTGTGGACTTGTTGGGCTGAAGGGCCTGTTTCCACACTCTAGGGATTCTATGATTCTAGACACTAACTGTGTTTAAACAGAGTTCAGATCCACACTCTTACTGAGAACTTTATTTCAGATAAGCACACTTCATAAAACTCTCACACCACTGATTGCTAACTCCACTTATTTTCCATTCTCACACACAAAGAAGTATTTTTAATCAACCTATTCAGGGAAGTTTTGACACACCCCTGCAGCAGGTAAAACTTGAACCCAGGCCTTCTGACCCAGAGGTAAGGACACTACCACTGCACCACAAAAGCACTCCAAATTCTCTGACACACCTCTGGAACAGGTGGGATTTAAACCCAGCCCTTTTGGTCCCATTAGGTCTGAGGCACTTTTTTTGACCTTATTAGATTAAAACAAAACACGTGGCTTGACAAGACAACACAGGATACAAACCATCAAGCACAAAAGATGCCCTTAAGCCCATCGAGTCTGCACTGACCTATCTACAATAATCCCATTTACAAGCACTTGGCCCATATCCTTGAGTGTTATCACATTTCAAGTGGTCATTCATGTAGTATTTAAAAGATTGAGAGGTTTTCTGCATCCACGGACCTCCCAGGCAGTGCATTCCAGATTCCCATTACCCTCTCGCTGAAACAAATTCCCTCTAAACCACTTATTCATCTGAAAATTATGTCCCCTCATCGTTGACCTTTTGCCTAAGAGGAGCAGTTGCTTCCTATCCATCTATGGGTAGGTGAAAGTGACACCCATTGATATCAAAACTGTGGACCCCTAGCAAAACTGGAATCTGGGTATCAGAGGGCAAACTCTCTGCTGGCTGGAGTCACACCTGGCTCATAGGAAGATGGTTAGGTTTCTTAGAGGTCAATAATCTCAGTTCCAGGACATCTCTGCAGGAGTTCAGGGTAGTGTCCTAGGCCCAACCATCTTCAGCTGCTTCATCAAAGACCTTCCCTCCATCAGAAGGTGGGAATGTTCGCTGATGATTGCACAATGTTTAGCACCATTCGTGACTCCTCAGATACTGGATCAGTGCATATTCAAATGCAAGAAGGTCTGGACAATATCCAGGCTTGGGCTGACAAGTGGTAAATAAATTCGCACCACACACATGCCAGGCAATGACCATTTCCAATAAAAAATGGTCTAACCACTGCCTCTTGACGTTCAATGGTGTTACTATCACTGAATCCGCCACTATCAACATCCTTCAAGTTACCATTGACAAAAAATTGAACTGGATTTGCCACATGAACGCAGTGACTACACAAACAGGTCAGAGGCAAGGAATACTGCAGTGAGTAACTCACCTGACTCCCCAAAGCCTGTCCACCATCTACAAGGCACAAGTCAGGAGTGTTATGGAATACTCCTCACTTGACTGGATGGGTGCAGCTCCAATAACATTCAAGAAGCTTGACACCATGAAGGACAAAGCAGCCAACATGACTGGCACCGCATTAACAAACATCCCTCCCAATACACACTACTGCTACCAACTAAAAGATGCATTGCAGAAATTCACCAAAGGTCCTTAGACAGCACCTTCCAAACCCATGACCACTGCCATCTAGAAGGACAATGGTAGCAGATGCCTGGGAACATCACCACTTGCAATTTCCCCTCCAAGCCACTCACTATCCTGACTTGGAAATATATCACTGTTTCTTTAGAGTTGCTGTGTCAAAATTTTGGAATTCCCTCCTTCATGGCATTGTGGGTCTACCTACAGAACATGGGCTGCAGTGGTTTGAGACGGCAGTTCACTGCCACCTTCTCAAGGGTAGGGATGGGTAATAAATGCTGGCCCTGCCAGCGATGCCCATGTCCACCGAGTGAATAGAAAAAACCCTGTCTGAAATAACTCCAGAGAGGCTGGTATCCCATCATCAAGCCACCTTTTATTTATGTGGAAAGTTCTTGACACTGATCCAGCTCCCTCAGAGCCAGGTCTCAGAGTGATTAGGATATTTGACACTCCTGTTTTTTTATCTGTCAGCCAGGGCTCCCTGATTGGATCAGATTAACAGCCCCAATCAGGGAACTCATATTCTATGAGGTCCACCTGGCTGACCTCGCTGCAATCAATACATTGTCCATGCCTCTCATTATCTTATATACCTCAATCAGGTATCCTATCTACCTTATCTGCACTAAAGAAAACAGTGCAAGCCCAACCAGCCTCTCTTCGTAGCTAACATATAAGATCAGGAAGACCATTTACCTGGAAAGACCCCACACTTAATCCTTCAGAACAACTATTTTTTTAAAAATTTCCAGGGCTTTCACCTCTATTACTCACTGAAGGTCCAATCCATAAATTCAATAATCTTTAAACTCTTGACAAACAAGTCCAAAGATGTGCAGGTGGATTGGCTATGCTAAATTGTCCATCATGTCCAGGGATGTGCAGGCTAGGTAGGTTAGCCATGGTAAATGCAAAGTTACCAATATTGTGGACTTATTGTGGAATCACTGGCCAAATGATCTGCTTCCCTACTGTAGGGATTCTATGAAGTCTGAGACTTAGCATTTTTTACTAATTTGAACCCATGTCCGCTTATGCTATTCTAAATAATTTGTTCAAAGCATTTCTTTTTGTAGATTTACCTTTGTTCAGGTAATTTACTATCTTTAACACTGTTTAGAATCATAGAATCCCTACAGGTCCCATTGAGTCTGCACCAACCCTCTGAAGAGCATCCCATCCAGACCCACTCCCCCCACCCTATCCCTGTAACCCTGCATTTACCATGGATAACTCACCTAGCCTGCACGTTCCTGGACACTATGGGGCAATTTAACAGGGCCATTCCACCTAACCTACAAATCTTTGAACTGGGGGGAGGAAACCGGAGCACCCGGCAAAACCCACGCAGACACACGGAGAATGTGCAAACTCCACACTGACAGTCGCCCAAGGCTGTAATTGAACCCAGGTCCCCGGTGTTGTGAGGCAGCAGTGCTAACCACTGAGCTTCCATGCCACCCACTTTATACAATAGCTTCTCCATTTCCATCTTTCAAGGTTGAAAAGTCAAGGTTTACGCAGTCTTTTCTCATAACTCAGCATCTAAATACAGATGATCATTGTGGTAATTTTTATAACTGCCTCAACATTGAAGTGTTCGTTGTGAAGAGGAGTCCCATTGAACTTGAAAAGTTAACTCTGTTTCTTCACAGATGCTGCCAGACCTGCTGAGTTTCTACAGCATTTTCTATGTTTGTTTCATATTTCCAACATTTTGCTTTTATTAAAGTGTCTTTTTTGTACCTTGGTGGCCAGAAATAGATAATGAAATTGACATTTGGAGTCCAAAACATTAACTCCGTTTCTATCTCCACAAATGCTGAGAATTGCCAGCACTTTCTGTTTTTATTTCAGATTTGCAGCACTTTGCTTTAATCTTACAGGTAATTTTATTGGTTGACATGATGCAAATACGATAACCACAAAATCAGCACTGTCAAATGAATTAGGAAGTG